TCCTCAGTCCATTAACTCTTTCAGTCCCCTTCAGGTTTAGCATCAGAGGCCCAAAGGAATAAAAAAAGATGTTAATTGCCACATTTTGCGTTCACTGGGCTTTTAGGTAGGAACCTATAAAAGTATGATGTGTTCCTTGGGACTGAAAGAGTTAAAGACAGTATGCAGTGTATATTATTGCTGTTTTGTTTTGTAGAATACTAGGTTTTTAAAAAAAACGGCTTTAACTTAAAAATAGTAGGTATTGGATTTTCAAGTGAAAACAAATGAAGCATGGTACGAAATGATGATTTTTTTAAAATACATATTATGCTTGTGATTGGATTTACATTTATTGACAGTCTTCTCTTTTATATTTTGTATTATTATACCCCATCCCTGATGCAAACAGTGGGAGCTAGAGAGTAAGAAGCAACAATGAAATTTTTAATCTTTTTAAATCACTATGGGTCACTAACATCATGAGGGCTAATAGATGGCTGGGACATATATAGAGAATGACAGATGACAGAGAGGCAACAACTGTATACACAAGGGAGCTTAAATGGTCATAGACCATGAGGCAAACCAAGAAAGACCGTGGAAAGATAATATACAGGCAGACCTAAAAATACTTGGAATCACCCTTGAAAAAGGAAAGCCATTTACAGAGATGAACAGAGGTGGGTGATATCTGCAGCTATGAATATTGAAGAAGATTATTATAAAACAATCACGATTTGCCTCTTATAAGCCACAATAGAATATAATGGTTAGCCTGCTTGTTTACCAAGACAGTCATCTGGTTCAGTTGCCAGTTAAGTCAATTGCATTTTTTTTTAGTCATTGCAGTGTTGGAGTTGAATCAGCCTTATAGTGTGATAAGTAAAGTAAAGAATCCCCCCCCCCCCCACTCAGTAGCATTTCAGGCTTATGATCCATCTCATATTTTTAATCGGCTCTTGGTAGGTGATGTGGTCAACATCACGCCAGCCACCTTTATTGCCAGCGATATAACCTGGTATCTATTTTAGGCTGGGTCATCCTAGGAAGAGCACTTTGCATTGATCTTTAAAAGTATATATTGAAAGCTGACCTTTCAGAGGGCAATGGCAAACTATTGCATGCAAAATTGCTTTGTTAAATCCAGCCAAAATATAATGGGGTTAGTTCTGCAATATCCTATACAAGCAGTGGTTCTCAATTTTATTTTTTTGTGGCGGCACCCTTGTCAGGCAAAAACATTTTTTGCAGCACACCTACCCTCAAAGTGGTTTGAATACTTAGGAAGGAGAAGAAAAACAGTGCAAATTTAATGTTCATTTGTCTTTAATGCGATGAATAAAACTGTTTTGATGAATTTTTCATTATTTCCTTTGTGTATATGGGAAGTTTAGTTAATTTAACCACTTAAATCACTTGACCCAGAAAGATTGATCCTGTATCTGTTTTTCATGTAAGTGTATTTTAAGAATGCACTGCAGCCTTTCCAATAGCATTGTCTTCTCAATACGCCTGCATTCAGAACTCTTCTTGGCTTCCTTCACATTGCTTCTGTTTGAAACTGCTGTCTTAGCTGATCTCAAGCAGATTTTGAAAAATTCTTGATCATTTGCTGTGGCACCCTTGGCATACGGTTGCGGCACCTCTGGATGCCATGGCACCAGTTTGAGAAGCTCTGATATACAGGATATGTAGCTAGCTTTTTTTTAAAAAAAACATCTTGGGTGCCAAAGTCAGCTTTGAAAGAAATTCTCCTTAGTGTTGATTTGAACTCAGATATACCTAGCCACTAAGCTACTAATAGCTACTAATATAATAAGTACCAGATCATTGTTGTCAGCGTTTGTGGCTTAGGTATTGCGAACACGCTTCAAAATGCTGGGTTCAGTCCCAGCTGCAGGCAATTTGGCATCAAACTGCCTTGCATTGGTTTCAACAGTGGTATCGAGAGCTGACCATTCACAATTTATGGCTGACTACTGAATGTAAATTCGCCTAGAAAAATCACAACAGCCAAAAAATGGTTGTACATCGTCCTGTAGAACACACAACTAATTTACCAAGATCATTCTTTAATTATTAACAAAAAAAAATTCTTCTAATGAAATATTTGTGAGGAGAGAACCGGCCTTCTGGCTTCATTATTCTGTATTCATTATTCTCATTTGTGCATGTCAAAAGTGGGGCAGACATCTTAAAACTGTTAATATGAAATCACCCTTTTCATCTGCCTCCTGATGGCATGTGCTTAACATCCTTAGCAAGAGTATTGACAGTTGCAAAACAGTGGCATGGTTATTGTAGTTTCTGTCGCGCTTTTTCATTTGAAGCCCCCTTTTATGTTAAGGTCTAACACAGCACACCTCAGGAACAGTTCTTACATTGTACTGCCTTTTATTGTGTCACAAGGTACCCCTCTCTTATTCAGCAAGTTAAAACATCATATCCATCATGTGCTTTCTGTCTTTTGTCTCCCAGTGGAGCAATGTCCCTGGGTCAACTCACACTTGGTCTAATGTAGACTTGTTCTTGATTGGTTTGATTTTGCATGGAATGAAGTAGGTAGTATCACATTAACCCTGCTTTACTCATTTAGTTGGGGGTGGGGGGAGGGGGGGTGCTGTATGGTCTTGGGGCATGGTGTCTGCCTTGAGAGCTAGAGGTTTCCGGGTTCAATCCCCGGTAAGTGCTGGGATTTTTTCATGTGGACTTGGACTTCTAGTATTTCCACTGGTCTCTGGGTAGGGAAATTGGACGCCCGTGTGCATTGTTTGTTGTGCACGTAAAAAATCCCTTGGCAGTTGGAAATTGAAAAGAGTAGCGTAACGGCACTGCCTGGGGAAAATTTGGAGTTAAAAATCTTCCCAAAGTATTTCAGGATCCTCGCCGGTGCTACAGAGCCTGTTCACTGTGCTGAGCTTCTTCGGACTTAGACTTAAGTAAGAAGAAAGAACGGAGCACTTATGGGTTACTACCCCTGTGCCATGATGTTGATCCGTTGTTTAAACCTCAAACCTCAATACTAAATTGGTGGGAACTGTCCTATGAAGTAAAAGAGGCTGGCGTCATGTTGACCGCATCACCATCCAATGACTTATTCATCATCATCCTATAACACTGCATCCTTTCCATCTTTTCACTGGGGTTAAAAGAGGGTCATAGGTGCCAATGTCTTTCTTCTTCTTCTGTCTTTCTAACCCCCAGTGGAGCATAGGCACCAACCAAATCCTTTGCTATCGCATGCAACTCTCTCCATGTCCTCCCCATCTCTTTAACTTCACTTTCTAGCTCCCTTCTCCCTGTATTTTTTGTCTTCCTTTATTTTTATGCCCCTGTGGGTTCCAGTGCAAAGACATTTTAGTTATATTGTTCCCATGTTTTCCCAACATGTGTCCTATTTAAGGCTAGCGTTGCCAATGTGCTGGATAATTATAACGTGAATGGCATTATTTGTGATGTGGCCTCTATGATATGCCAAGAATTTTTCTTAAAGATCTCATTTCCATTGCATGTATCTTCTGTTCAAACTCAGCTGTCAAGGTCCACGATTCACAGCCATATGTAAATATACTAATAGCTAATACTCTTAGAATCAAAGCTTAGTTTTAAAAAAACTGTTTTTGGATCGCCTTAATTTTTACTGTCTGGCAAGGACTGAATTTGTCTGGGCAATCCCAGACATGATTTCTGGTCTGGATCCTAGGTCACTTAAATAAAATAGATTCTAAATATTTTAAATGACTGACTTGTTCCAGTTTGTGACCTTTGACATACTTGGTGTAGTTATGTCATCTCATTGTTGGTCATTACTGTAGTCTTTATTATTTGTTTTTATTTTTCTATACAAATATGAGTCTAGCATCATATGCCTAATGCACCTTCTTCTTCTCTTCTCTACTCCTGGAATGCCTGGTGGCGCCAGGGCAGGAAGAGATCTTTGGGAATGGGCCCTTCTGTTCACTTTGTGCAAAGTACTTTTCAGTGTCTCTGATATTTCTGTGGTCTAAGTTCTGTGTGGTTGATCTCTGGCTCTGTTACCGATTTTATCTGTATAACGTTGCTCTCTGTGGTGTCCTGTCTGATGCCAGTCTTGTTACTTGGCCAAATCATTTGATTTGTTGTCTAGCTATAAAATTCAGTATTGGTTTTGTGCCGACTCTCCTCTTGATATCATCGTTCCTAAGTCGATCTTTTCTCGTTTCACTTAGCATGGTACATAAACATTTCATTTCTGTCGCGACTATTTTCTGTCTGTCTTCTGAAAACAGTGTCCATGTTTTATAGTGATAGCATAGTGCTGGTAAGAATATTGTGTTGAACAGTGTTCAGCAGCGATGCACCACTGGTGTGGGAAAAAAAAAGTTCTTTACTTTTATTTTTTTACTCATTCAATACCATGCTAGTCGCCATGCCTTTGTTGGTTTCTCTTGAAATTATATACTTTTCTTCACTCCTTGTACCCTGAACAGCTGCCAGGTTAGCCCATTTGTTATTTTAACTCATGCAGATTTATAGTATAATTAATTTAACTCTTTAGATGCTCGCCTGCTAAGCCCTAGGTCTTGGGTTCAAATCTGTATCGAGTCAGATCATTTTTCTTTTCAAAAAATGAACTTTTCTCCCAAACTGGGCTAGCCTAAAATGGGTACCAGGTAAAGCCCTGGGAAGTAAAGGCAGCCAGAATGATACTGACAGCATCACCCATTTTTATTGCCAGTTGGTCTACAAAAATATAAGTCTTGCACTGTATGTTTGATAAGCTACTGGTGTGAAAGGAGTCTTTTACTTTACTTTGATCTGATTTAACTCTTCAATAGAAAGATTGGAAGTAACACCTTCTTGAAATGGGAGTGAAATGGTTAATCACCTCTAATAACCACTAGACAGGTTATTATTCTTTTCATTATCTTCAGGCATCAGTAACACAAGGGTGAGTATGTATACCTCCTATTCAGGGCCACAGATCTGTTCAAAGTCCAGCAAGAGCATTAGTTTTTTTTTTGGCTTTTAAATTTCAGAATATTCTTGAAGAACCTGTCAACCCAAAAGTGCGGGCTGCTTCAGCTTTAAAACATGAGTTTCAGGAACTGCACGTGACTTGCCCTGATGGACTGACCATCAAATATTTCCTGCAGGGTTCAGCAGGTAAGTGCCTGAAAATGTGACTGAGCTCTTTCTTCTTCCTCTTCTTTTATGTTTACCTTCAAAATGGTGGTTTACTAGGCTGCAACATCTGCACCTTTGAAGCCCAACACACCTGATCAGGGCCATCTTAATGCATGGGTCCGATGAGCACTGGCCCGGGCGACCCCACCCACAAGCTTAGGATCTCTGTGCTAATCTGTGTATGTAAAGTGACTTGCCATAAATGAAGATATATTTGAAGTTTAAATTAAGGCTGTGTTGTTAGTTAAGTCTTTTCTCTTGGGCCTAGAGTGCACATAGGGCAGAGGTCATAGCTCTCCATGTCTGGCGGTTCATTGCCACCTGTTTTAGGTCTTGGATGTTTGTTAAGCCTATGGTGGAGCCTTCCCTGATAATGGTTCTATGTAGAGTCTCTTGGTCTCTCATTTTTATTTTTCCGGTGTCTTTATGAGGGCCTGATGGGGATGTCTTGTCTTATGCAATCTGAGTGCATGACCGTGTAGTATAAAACTGAAATTATTATATTTCCTGTTCTCTCTCTCTCTCTCTCTCTCTCTCTCTCTCTCTCTCTCTCTCTCTCTCTCTCTCTCTCTCTCTCTCTCTCTCTGTCTCTCTCTGTATATATATATATATATATATATATATATATATATCTCTCTATAATATATTATATATATATATATATATATATAAAATCAATATATATATATATATATATATATATATATATATATATATATATATATATATATAAAATCAATATATGTGTGTGTGTGTGTGTGTGTGTATTTGTATATATATGTGTGTGTATATATATATATATATATATATAAATCACTCAGAGCAGGGATATTGGCTTCAGGTGTTGAGAAATGTCATTTCTATAATTCGCTTTCCTTGCCTCCAAATGTTTACCATTTCGAGGAGAAAATGAGACCATTGGGTCAGCACAGAATGGCAACTATTTACGTACACTAGAGCTGCTGAAAATGTATGACCGTTCTGGAAAAGGAAATCCATCATTTTTATCTGCCAATATTTGTGAGGAATTTATTGAATTAATGTGACAAGTTCTTTGTACTATCCTTGAAGAAGTAAAAGAGTCAAGGTATTATTCAGTAAGTGAAGATTCTACTCCAGACATCTCACACACAGATCAACTGACATTTACTACCTGCTACATTCAAGGCTGGAGTCGCCCTAGCCGAGCAGATAGATGCTCGCCTCGGATCGGAAGATCGTGGGTTTGCTCCCTGGCGGAGCCGGACTTTTTAAAAAATGACCTTGGCTCCCAGGTCGACTCAGCCTAGAGTGGGTACCTGGTGCAGTCCCTGGACGTAAAGGCGCCTGGCTTGATGCTGACCACATCACCCATCTTGTGCGGATTGGTCTATAAAAATATAGGTCTAGCCCTATATGCCCTATACACCTAAAAGGCGTGGAAAAGAGTCTTTTATTGTTATTTTAAAAGCTGGAACATCCCTGGAAGTTCATCCCTATCTTTTCTCATGAGGGACATAGATGACAAACTCCATGACTTAATCAGCCTGCACTTGCAGTCCAGTATGTCGTCCAGACATATTTAAGGCATAATCCTATGACTGACCATGGCAGTTTGATGGTGGAAATTTGTTTTCTTATCTCTTATATTCTCATTGTTGAGTTATTGACCCTGTGCAAACTCTTTATCTCTTTGGAGCAATTATTTATATTTCACCTCTTGTCTGTTTTATTGTCAGGTGTTGGGCCCGACTCCCCCGATGCCAGGCATCTGTTGGTGAGACAAAGTTATCCGTTTAAAACCAGTGGCGTACAAAGCTGTGAGAGCATTCGCAACAAGTACATTCAGTCAGAGGTATCTCGAGTCATCACTGCTGATGGTCATGTGATCAAGAACATGGTGGATGGGTCGGTAGAGGTATGTTTTGTATTTATTTTGCAATAATACAATAAAACGGGAGTCAGTGATAGTGCTGAATCTAACATGTTGGCATGTAGGTCAGTGGTCTTAGATTTGAGTTGCAGTAGCTTTGTGGCTAGATGCCCAATTTTATTCCGAAAGTCTTGAGTTGGACTTTTTTTTCAAATGTGACTTTGATTCCAGATCACCCATCTTAAAATGGGTATGAGGTAATATCCTGGAAAGTAAAGGCGGTTGGAGTAATGTTGACAACGCCGATGGGTCCATAAATATTTTATCTAGCATCATAAGCCTGATATGCTATTGGCTCAGCAAGGGTCATAAACTTACTTTTTAACGACCTAAATTTGGTACCAGGAAACATCCTAGAAAATAATTAGGGTCATCTTGATATTGACCACAAGCCCCTACTAAGTGATGAAAAAAATAGTAGTAGTAGTAGTAGGTTTTTACCCCACTTGGACATCACACTAGCGATAAACACGGGATGACACTATGTGCCACCATGTAGATAAGGATCACCGTGGAGAGGCCCCATTAGGCCATATTTATGGTCGGGCTATATTGCGGCCCCTGGCAAGAGCCAGAGTAGGGCTTCAAATAACGACAAATTGCATCTCACAACGAACGAACGAACAAACAAACTTTATTTTCAAAGGGTTGAGATGACTAGAACACTAGTTTTTTAATGAAAAATTATAAAAATCAAATGAAAAGTAGACCAGCAAGCTTCACAATGTAACAGAACACAAAAGGAAAATAAATGTTGTGGCTACAGAGCCTTCATCGGCACATTATATAAATCAACAAAACTACATATACAGTCATGAATACACAAAATTCCCTAACTGATATATTCCCAATAGCAGCCACTTTGTTGTACAGCCTTGGAATAAAAGATTTGTATAACTGCCAACAAAAAATAGCCCAGGAATATTAAGGGCCGTGACTCGAGGATTTTAGGTGAAACAGTTGACAGTACTAAGTGATGATGAATCTGTACAAATATGGAGATAACACCATATACCCATATAAGTGCCATCCCAATACAGGATGCATTTGTTTGTTATTTTAAAGCCCCACCCCATCTGTGGTCAGGGACCCTAAAATAACCTAATGGTTGAATGGGGTTTCTGTGACCTGTTCACGAGTGATCCTCATCTGAATGGTGGCACTTTGTGTCACCCCATGTTTAACACTCTGTGTGATGTCCTCATAGGGTTGAACATCAGTCTCAGCCATATGCCCAGTAGAACAAGGTGTGGGAACAGATCCTTTTTCATTAATTGATACTGAGTGGGGTCTTGCATTGTCTGTATGGTTACAGCTTTCTTATTTTACCTTGTTACAATACATGTAATGTATATTTCTTAAGATGTGGACAAATAGCAGTCTGAGTGTGTACATCCAGGTAGAGAGGCAGGAATCTGTTATAGCTAATCTTCATTGTGGAGATAGCACCTAACTGACTGATTGATTGACTGTCTCATTCTCTACCTACATGATACTTGGGTCCCCAGGTCAGGCACCTATAATATTTGGAAATGTTAGCAGAAGAAAGGTGGCTTGGTGTAATATTGACTATTCCACTCATTAAATGCTGATTGGTGTTAATGCCCTATGTGTCTGGGAACATATACCAAATAGGCCTCATGGCACGAGATGATTTCCTTTGCTTTATACTTTTATTCTTATTTTATTCAAAACAATGTTTTCCAATTATAATTTAAATAATGCAGACAATACAATGCACAATTTATTGCCTGGTATATTTTGCTGTATCTCATCAGGTGTATGACTATAGAGTTACATCAACATGTGATGAAGAACAAAAATTAATCCTTTACACTGAATTACACAAATCACATGTTTAGTCACATAGTACATGACTCAGATGAACATTAAAGATTAGTCACATGGCAATTTCAAATCTATGACATGCCTTTTTTTGTTTACACAAAACAGAATAGTTCATTTTGATTCTTAGTGCTTTACATAGTTTTTGCTCATCATTGTGTATCAGGTTCTTTACAGAACCTCACTTTTGTCACAGTCCACCTGAAAGAACCTCTGTCTCTTGCCAACCCTAATCCCTGATGCACTTTCCTACCCAATGTGTCTCTTATATCTTGTGTCCATGCTGGTTGGTCCCTGCCTTTCACCTGGTACAATGCTTCCTCTACTGTTCTATCAAATCCACCCTGTCATTTTATTTGGCCAAAATATTTCAGCATCTAAGACAGGGTGCTGTTTACTAGCCAAAATTCCTTGATGTTCAGATATTTTAGGATGTCAGTTTTTCTTTTCTTCTTTATCAATTGTTTACTGAGAATCTTTCTATAGCATTTCAGCTCAGATGCCCTTATTTTTCTTTCTTAATGACTGCAAAACAGTTCACATCTCTCACCTGTATGTTACCACAGGAAAGATGCATTCTCTGAAAATTTTTACTCAAACTTTTGCATTGCAATGCACTTCTCCTAATAATTAATGTTGAACGGTCTACATTACTGTTAATTATGGAGCCAACTTTGTGATATTTTTAGTTTCTTATTTTTCCATAGTTTTTTATTTTATTAACAATTAACAGTAAAAATCAGTTAATATTTGGTAATTTTTTTTTTTAAGGTCTTAGGTTCAGATGGTACCATTAGTGTCTTTACAGGGGCCTGGAATTATGGCATGCATGAATCAGCAGCTGATGGTCAAAAACGTACATCTAGAGGTAATAATACATGTTAGTTAGTCAACAGATTTTCCTCATTGCACATCAAACCATTTAGTCCATAAGTGCTCTGAATTGCTCCTTAGTAAATCAATAAGTGTGTGGCGGCACACGACACCCGTTTTGTGTTGGTTTCTTATTCTTCTTTGGCTTCCTGCATAGTGCTCTTGTTTGGCCACACCCCTTTTAACATGTTGTTCTTGCAGTCTGGTCATGGTTGCAGATTTGCAATCATCCTTTGGTTCTCCCAAACAGCTTACTTCTCGCAAAGCATTTAGAATATCAGCATGATTCATGGCTTGTTCACCCTCCACAGTAGCTTTACCTGCGAGCCCATCAGCTTGCTCCTTTCCTTGCATTCCCTGGCACAATCATAAAAACTGATATGTGTCAGCCCCGACCGATTTAGATACTCCAACCACTGTAAAACAGTCTATTAATAAAATTTCTGCCAGTGAATAGTTGTGACTACTACTTTAACTCACTCTGTCCCAGGCAGCTCACCATGCATTTGTTGAGCTCTCTTTCATTATATACTTATTCATCACTTCTTCACGTTCACTGGCTGTAAACTCTGGTGGGAAGTTCTGGGTGTTTGTCAACTTCTGGACTTTAGTCTTATCCCAGAACTTTAGTTTTATGTGCACATCCATTTTAGTCTTATCCCAGAACTTTAGTTTTATGTGCACATTTGTTTCACAGATCAGGCTTACTTGTATGCAGACTGTTGTTTCCTTTGCCTGTCAGGCAGATGCACTCCAACATTGAAGGAAACCCCTAATTAGTCGGCTCCTACGACTTGCTTATTAGGAAGGCAGTAAAGCTAATAGGGAGAAATTATTCCAGTAAACTGTGACCAAAAAGCTTAAAGGAAAGAGGGAAGAGGAAAAGTCAATGTTAACTTACTCTGCCCTAATTGTTGCTTCTTTCTCATGGTGCTATTATTTATCTGCTTCAGACTCATGCATTTATTAGTTAAAATAATAAATTCTTGAGATATAATGGGATTAAGTAGCATCCAGCCTTGGACTCAAAGAGTTAATTAACTCCTTCACTTATATATATCAGAGTAGATGTCAAAGTTAAAGCTGAGAGCAGCGACTTTATTGCACTAGGGGTATTGCATATGGCTCAGTCTCTATGCAGAATGGCTTGCCACCTGCCAAGAGCACTGTGCAAAGCATGAGCTCTGTAGCCACAGCCGTAATCCCCAGGCATCTCATTAAAGGGGAGAATAAGAAAAGAAAGATAAGGATTACATGGAATGAGTTGCATGCAATAGCAAAAGAAATTGCAACTTTGTGTGAGTCTGTGGAATGCCTGTGCTTTGTTGGGAGATGAAATGCAGAATAAAAAGTCAAATCCTTAAGAAATGCACAGACGGCTATTTAGTTTTTCCGTCGTCGTTTGTGATCCACCATGACATAATGTTAAGTAATCAGTTATCATCTGTTTAGGTCTTTACTTGTCTTATGATGGTGATGATATTTATAAGTTCTTACATTCTATTAAAATAAAAACACTATGTTTATAAGTTCTTCCATTTTCATAAAAATAAAAACACTATGTTCATAAGTTCTTCCATTTCCAGCTAAGAGATTACATAAAAGCAAGCCACAGCATGATTCTGCAGAACATTCTAAGACTCCAGCTGCTAACTGGACAATAACCTACCCTAATGGTGAACGACTCCGGATGGCCAAGGACACAGGAAATATTGTGGAACTCCCCTCTCTACCTGTATGTGTTGCTTGTGATCCTGAGACCAAACAGGTAAATTAAAATTGTCAGTTTCTCAATTTGAGAGGAGATGTTGTGGACACTGTGAGACACTATGGCAAAATTCACGCAGCATTTTGTTCTCTTCCTCCTCCTCCTCTTTCTCTTTCTCCTTCTCCTCCCCTTTTAACATTTACCAGATGTAGACACCAGCAGAAAGTTCTGGTTGTTCATCTATTTCTGGTCTTCAGTCTTGATCTAGAACTTGAGTCTTGTGTGCACATCAGTTTGTAAGATCTGGCTAATTTGTGTACAGACTGTTGGTTTCTTGCCTCTTAGTCACATGCTATGATATGCTTGTTGGGAGGTTAAGGGGAGGGGGGTGGTAAACCCTGCAACCCACATGGGAAATAAAGCATTCAAGTTTAACCTTTGTTTGAGTTAGAACCAAGGTAGCACAGTGGCTATTTGCTTGGCTATATCACCCATCAATTGTTCATTACAACAGCTTGACTTTATCACATATGATTATGGCACTACATACCGGATGTCCAACTGATGTAAAAAGGGCCCATAATGTCACATTGTTTGAATCAAATCTTCTTCAAGTCCATGCTGTGTTGTGGCATTGGTAGTCATGACTATCCACAACCTTCTGCCTCATGTACTTTCAATCACTTCTGACATAGATGATCCTCCATGCCATGATGTCAAACTGGTCCAGCACTTGTTCTCTCAGTCTCCCTGTGCCTTCCTCCCCTCCAGCTTTCTTACCGTGACGATGTACTCCAGTTTTATCCTTCTCATCACATGACCAAAGAATGTTAATTGCCTCTTTCTGATGTGAGCAATCAGTTCTCTTCGTGAGACAGTTTCTTTCAAGACGTCTTCATTACTCTTTTTATCTGTCCAGGGTATTCTCATATTTCATCTATAAAACCACATCTCCGCAGCTTCCAAATAAGTTATCACTAATTTACCAGTTGAATCAATGACCACCTCCTAAATATAAGTAAAGTAAGTAAGGGACCCTTTTCCATTACATGTTGGGTGTAGAGGGCTAGACCTGTATTTTTTAGACCAATCAGCACTCGATGGCTGAGGTGCCCAACATCATGCCGGCCGCTTTTACTTCCCAGGTCTGTACAAGGAACCCATTTAAGGTTTGGTCGACTGGGAGCCATGGCCAGTTTTTTTTTTAAGTCTAGCTCAGCCACTTTTTGATCTGCAGGCAATCATATAGCAGCTATACAAAGGGGGTCCCCACCTTCTAAATGTAACCAAGCAAAATATGTTTCCATTTCTACCTACCCTAATGATGTCACTCCAGTCTGCTACATTCTGTTGTTTCGGGTAGATCTGTTACCATGAGGAAAGCAGTATTTCACAGGATGAAGAATGTTAGTTGCAATCTATCTCTGTTTCTCAAAATGAAAAAGAAAGCACAGTGGTGCATCAGTATATGTCATTAATCTGTTCCAGATTCTAGGATTTATACAAGCAGAACAGGTACCAAACAAAATTTCCCATGAGAAATAAAGGGAGAATGATTAATTGGAACCCATAGGAGGAAAATCCTTTTGTTACTGGCATATTATACATTGATGGGGTTGAATAAAACGTTTTAGACACTGCATAATGCTAAAATACATAAACATAAAAGCAACCAGATTTAATAAATGACAATTTAACCATTCTTTACTTTGCTGAGAGAAACTGAGAGCCTACTAAAATGGTGCTGAGAAGGGAGGAGGAAATGTTATTTGTTTGGAAGGAAAGTCCATTTCCAACAAAACTTTAGGAATCTGAAATAATTATTTATGTTTCTTTCTGTTTTCTGTCTCTTTTGCCTATTTGTGATTGGCCGAGGTTCACAAGTTCTAACTTGTGAGTCATATTCCAAACAAAGATTATATACCAAGTAAAACTGTTCACATCTAAACAGGATGAATACCAAGTTGGACATGAGAAAAGAGATGTATACTTGGGTATCACTGTATTTAGGAGCTATTTAGAACCAGTCCTGATATATGGGAGTGAATCATGGATGATCAATAAATTACCAAAACATTTATGTGGAAGCTGCAAAGCTATGGTTTTATAAAGAAAAAGAAAAAGTATAGACAGATACAAAATGTTATGAAAATATTTTGAAAAATGGAACTGATTACCCACATCAGAAGAAACCAATCTACGTTCTTTGAGCACTGTGATACTGATTACATAAATGTCTTAGATAAACAATTTCACTGCATATGAAGTAACAGATGAATACACCAAAAACGTAATGGACACTTTATATCCCACTTATTACCCTTAGGGTTAGCCAGGATTTTTTTGGGGAGGTCGAGGGGGGGGGGGGGGGGGGGGAGGATTACCACCAATACCACTACCGTTACTACTCCTGCTGCTGCTGCTAGTGCTACTACTACTACATGACAACATAAACTTAGAAGAGGAAGAGAGACAAAGGGATACCAAAAGTAAAAAATAATTGACAAACTGGTATTATACGTGGAAGAACATCTGTACCATCTGTACTAAAGGACCCTTTTCCACACCTTAGGCATATAGGGCATATAGGGCTAGATCTATATTTTTTTAGACCAATCGGCACAAGATGGGTGATGTTATCAGCACCACGTCGGCCACTTTTACTTCCTGGGACTGCACCCAGTACCCACTCAAGGCTGGATCGTCCTGGGAGTCAAGGTCATTTCTTGAAAAAAGTCAGGCTCCACCAGGGAGCGAACCCGCGACCTTCCGATCCGCATGCGAGCGTCTAGCCGCTACACCACAGTGACTACCACATCTGTACTATAAATAATTAACAGTAAAAAAAAAAGAAAGCCAATGCCACATGACAGAAAAAAGAGAGACGCTGTGGTGTAGGACTGGACGTCTGTCTGTGGATCCAAAGGTGGTCGGTTCAGGTCCTGACAGAGCCAAAATAAAAAAAAAAAAATGATCTTAGCTTTGGTGTCAACCCAGCCTTAAATGGGTACCAGGAGGAGTCCTGGGAAGTAAAGATGGCCAGCTTGATGTTGACCATATCACCCATCGAGTGCCGATTGGTCTGTAAAATATAGGTCTAGCCTTATGTGCCCATTACTGTTTGTCAAAAGACATAGTGAAGATATATACATTTTTTTTTTAAACAACAGAAGTAACATCCACAGACAAAACTTTATGTCAAATTTAAATCTGAACAGAGAAGACACAAACAGTGGATTGCACAGTTTATTAACTGACATCTTCACTGTATACCATCAGGTAGGTACGTTTCTACAGTAACAATTTAAATGAAATGTAGCAAATAATTTAACCCATTACTACTGAAATATAAAATCATGCTCATGAAACATTTAGTTAACCCTTCCTTTAACTAACACTGCAGAACTCACATTTGTTGTTTCATTTCTTTCATTTCATGTAATTCTGTTACCCGTATACATATTACCAGATTATGTGTACTCGGGATGACCAAGTGATTGTAATTACCTACCCTGATGGCGGTACTATTGTTGAGCATGCTGATGGCACACGTATAAGTACCTACTACAAAGACATTACTGTTCTAGATGAAGGTACGTTGCTTGTGTTATTTCATTTTCAATATATGACAGTGGAAGCTGAACCACTTAAGATATGGAACACAAATTAAATGCATTGAAACTGATAAACATTAAAAATAAATAATTTAAGAAAACAAATAAATGGCTGGATAGCCACCAGCTTAAGCTGTTACAAGATAAAGAAGATGGTGAAGTACTGAGTACATGTTAGATAAAGTGCGCACAGATCACACAACAGGCACTGGAATTGGAAGCAGGTGGATTTAGAAAGCGAGGGCATATTAGAAAGAAATTATTGGGCTCTAACAGTGAGAGGAAAAGGGATGCTTAAGTTACCATGATTTAAATAAACCAAACAGAAACTATGTTGATTTTATGTTTTTATTCTTTCAAACATAAGCTGACTCCCTAAGTACAAACAGCTACATTCAAACAATGAAGTTCATCAAAGTGGAGTGTCCTGCTTTTGCCACGGTTGAATTCAACACTGCTACCTCTGAGAACCTCACTGTTTTTGGCAATGGAACTAACATTAATGTCTTTCCTGATGGTTACTATATGTTTCACCACAGTAAGGGTGGTAGAATTGAGGTAAGTGATGCCGAAAAATATGAGAACTTTCTGCCTTTCTGTTGCATGTTTTTTTTTTTTTTTTTTGCAGATATAAATCTTGTTCCGGCCTTTTTCTTTTTTCTTCTCTAGTCCTATTCTTCCTTTCAGCAATAGGTTTTGAACAGGCATCGTGTGCTTGCTATGGTGTGTGCTTTGTAGACGTTTGTATTTGCAGCTTTAGATATTCAGTCTATCCATCACTGTTCTGGTCTAGAAAAGATATTTATATTTTGGCCCCTAGAAGGTTTCAGAATGTTAGATTAGATTTAGAATTAATTATGAAAAATCACACGTGCACTGTTTCAGAGAGCCACAGGGGCATAGTAGTTAGCGTACTTGCCAGCCAAAACACTGGTCTGTTGGTTGGATCTCCAACTACAGGCAGAATGATTTTTCCTGACCAGTGTGGCTCTTACATTGGCCATGCACTCAGAATGGATAAGACCAGACTCCCCCATCAGTCCCTCATATGGACACTGGAAGGGAAAAGAAAGGGGGAAGACCAAGAGACATCCGGCGTAGAAGCATCCTCAGGGAAGGCTTAGCCATGGGCTTAATGAACATTTAAAACCTAAAACCGTCATACATGGAGAGCTATGACCTCTGCCCTATTAACCAACATAGGCTCAAAAGGAAAGAATAACTAAGTATGGCTCTATGTTCAAGCTAGCCTCATAAAAATAGGTATTGGACAAATTTCCAGCAAAAAACTAGCTGTAAATGAAAGGTGATCAGGGAACCCCAACTTATGTCCGCCTCTAAATATGTTAAACAAAAGCTCAGTTATTCAACTAGTGTGTAATTTTAACATAAAGATGATAAACAAATGTTTACTTAGCAAATTGTTATATGTATGGATAAGATAGCTGAAAAAACAAACTCTCCGCAGGAGGATTTCAGTAATTTGATATTTGCTGATGATCATGCTGTATTAAAGATGATTTTTCGTCTACAGTATAAATATAGGATTACACAAAATTATGACAAAACATGGATATTAAAGATACCAACAATAGATCATGTAGGTGTCATAATTAGTGTAACAAATTTTTCAAAAAGACCCTTTCCACGCTTTTAGGGGTAGTTGGCATATAGGTCTAGACCTGTATTTTATAGACCAGTCGGAACTTAGTAGGTGATGTGGTCAGCATCACGCCAGCCACCTTTACTTCTCAGGACTCCACCTGGTACCCATTCAAGGCTTGGTTGACCTGGCAGCCAAGGTCATTTTTGATAAAACTGGAACTGTCAGGGACCAAACCCACATTCAGATCTGCAGGCGAGCATCTAACCAACTACACCATGGGTGTCATGCTAGAGAACAAACCAATAAAAGTAATGGAACCATTTCACCTATTTGGGTAGCAATTTTGAATTTCAAGGAGATACAACTAAGGAAATTATAATACACATTGGCAAAGCAGTAACAGTCTTTAAAAGCCTTAATAAAATAGGAGCTCTTAAGTTTTACACTTTCAAGACCAAACTATGAATCTTCAGTTCTAATATTTTTTCTGCGGAAGCTTTGAGAACTACCAATGGAATGGAATGAAAATTAAATGCATTTGAAAACAAATTGTCGGAGAAAAATCATGAACATATAATGGGATGATTTGTGAAAAAAAAGTGAGGAGATCATAGAAATTTTGGACAAATACCTGTATTGACTTTAGTAAGACAGAGATGTTGGAGATATACTGAGCACCTTCTGAGATGAAATGAGCAAAGAATTACAAAACAAGCACTAAAATAGGGAGAGAAAAAAAGAGACTGAGAAAAAGGACACCCAAGGAAAACATTAATAACATCATTATTACGAGAAGCTGAAAATGTTGGGATGAACTCTGTATTTAAAATCGAGAGAGTTACATGCAATAGAGCTGAGTGGAGGAATCAAATATAAGCCCTAAGTGCTGTCTATCTGCACACAAAGGATGATGACGATACATTATTATACAAATATAAGAATAAAGGATAACCTCCAAAACCACATAAACAGTTGCAACACCTGTTGCAAGAAATGTAATATGAAAAGAAATATTTTGTTAATACCAAGAAATAATGACAGCAAATGGAACACCAGTTCAACATGTCATCACTTTTGAAGGAGAGACGTTAAAACAAGCTGAGGAGTTTGAGTACCTAGGCAATGTATTCACAGAGGATTGAGGTTTGGAGAAATAGAAAACAGAATACAGGAAGTCCAGCCACATTAAATATCGAATAGTGACACTTTTAAGGCATCAAAATATCAACATGTACTCACACAAAAGGAGCTGATATATGTGCTATTTGTATCAACTTTGTGGTATCAGTGCCATCAGACATGGACAGTCATATAGAAAAATGAACGCAAAATTTTAGCAAAAGGCAGAAAACTACATATTACTCCTCTCTGCGACACTTTACGGCATAAGCAGTACTACAAAAGAAGAAAAACTACATAAATATTGATCTCTTCATTAAATCTATTTATTTAAAATGGGAAGCTAATTGATAACCGAATAACACGCAGAAACAATACAGCAGAAGTCAAAAGTGATAGAACAGTTCAACACTTTTCGCTCACCAAGTCAAAATATTGTTTTCTTGGTGCATTTTTATTTTCAAACCCTTTTAGTGACAGTTAAAGGATACATATTCAAGGGATCAAATCCCTAGACTATGAGAAGACAGACAATCCTCTTTTAAAAAAAATTGTTTTTTTCATAACATCACTTTACTAAAAAAATTTGAAATAATTTTTCCAGTCACTTAATGTCTAAACCTGGAAACAGATTATTTCTACTTAAAAGGAAGCAATCACTAAAACAAATGGGGCAAAGAATTAACTGATGTCTTCCCCTTCTTCTTTTTCTTCTTCTTCTTCAGCATTCTGAGCCCTTGAGATTCATTGCTGCAGATATCACCCACCTCTACTCATCTCTTTGGTTGGCCTTTTCTTTCCATTTGGTGATGCCAAGTGTTTGCAGGTCCATCTAGACATTATCGTTTCATCGTCTTCTTGGTCTGCCTCGTGGTCTACGACCATTCATCTCCCTTGTGTATCCAGTTTTTAACCTCTCTGTCATCTGACATTCTCTCAATTTGCCCCAACCATTTCAGTCTATTAGCTCTCATGATGCCAGTGACCAGTGGTGATTTAAACAGACTATGAATTCTCTTGATGGTTCTCACTCTCCCCCTTGACCATTTAAAACCGGTTTTGGTTACTTTGGCACAGAGAGGTGGGTTTTTTTCATACCCACCATGCCTACACACTATGAAGTTGCAGCCTGTGCCAAAAATGTCATATAGGTGTAATGGACACTGTCCAATGAGAAACATGTCAACCCAAACCCATGAAAGCTTGTAATTAAAAAAAAATGGCTTTCTCAGTTTGAGAAGGTTAAGTCAGTACTGGTGTGTGGAGCTGAAACATAGAGAACATTTAAAACTGTTACAAAAAAAGCTAAAATATTCATTAACTGGTGCCTGTGTGTTCATTTCATGGATGTGTTGTTTCGGCTCTTCTTCTTCTTAGCGCTCACCAGTTGTTGTTCATCCACTTCTGGGCTTTGATCTTGTTTCAGATCTTGAATTTTATGTGCACTAAGGTTCTCTAAAATTCACAAGGGAAGTTTGGTTCATGAGTGCAATTTTACGGAGACCCTGGGGATTGTCGCTGGAGATACGGTGTTCATGCTGTGTGCAGTGCTTTCCAGAGAGAGTCAGAGCCATATAGGATCAAAGCCATTACTATGAACTTGATCCTCTCTAGCTTTAACTTATTTGACTCACTTTGTACTCCTGTGTATATGTTCACTTCAGGATCATATTATATCATTCACAGATTGACACAGAGGGCACAATGACCTACTTTCCACAACGCAACCACTTTCAAGAACAGCAAGATTCAGGCCATGACAAGCAGTATGTTATTCGTCATAATGCTGATATTATTGTAGAGACTATCGACCCAAATGGAAACGTATTTAATGTGCGTTCGAATGGAGAAACCATTGTCATTCCAGCTGTGTTAGAGGATTTATATTCTACAAAATCACGTCTCAAAGCAGAGGTTTGTTGAAATTTAATTGCTTTTAAATCTTTTTTATTTTTTTTTATTTTTCAGTACTGAACAACTCCATATTTCATTATCTGGTTACTCTTTACATCAATGGCTCTCAAATGGTTGATGGTTGTCAAATTGGGAACCATAGCGGTAAATTTAAGGGGCCCATGATATCATTTATATGTGTATATGTATATATATGTATGTATTATCTATGTATGTGTGTGCGTGTATGCAAGCATGCATATGTGCATAGGCATGTATGCGCATGTGTGTGTCTGTGTGCATATGTGTGTATTTTTTGTATTTAAATATGTATGTATGTAGGTATATATGAACATATGTGACATTTGTATGTATTTATATATGTATGTACTTAAGAACGTACGTATGTAGAAATGAGTGTAGGTGAGCGTACGTGTAACAAAGAAGATTCGACTGTTCATGAGTATTGAAACTGAGATCTTTATTTTTTTTTAATTTCTACGTTCCTTGGCTGTGCATTAATTCTTCCTTATTTATATATTATTTTAAAGAATAGTAAGCTGATGCCCTCTCACGACAACCATGCACCAAGATTCTTCATTGTCCATGATGACTGCAGTGGCACAGAACTTCTTCGCTATGAAGATGTCGCTGAGTATCTGCTTCTGGCTGATCAAAACCCAGCAGCAGCAGTACTCACTGAAGAAATACCAGATTATCCTGGTGTGAGCAGCATTACTGTTTTAAAGCCATTTCTTTCTGGCATCTCCGAGAAATGGCTTAAAAAGTATGACCAGGAATGTATTGTGCCTCAAGGTTTGAGGTATGTGTATCTCAGTAATAATGCAAAACAGAAAACTAAGTAATTTTAAGCCCGTATATGTCTCAATGCTTCATTTATGGGGGATCCCTGTGTGGGTTCTGGGGCCCTATTATAGGGAAAACAAGATAGACCCACTGCCTACTCAAAAGCATGTCGTAAGAGTCGACTAATTGGAAGCTTCCTTCAAAATCGGAGTGCATCTGCCTGAGAGGTGAGGAACCAACAGTTTGCATACAAATGAGTCAGATCTGTAAAACGGATGCACACGCAACACTCAGATTGTGGAACAGGACTGTAGTCCAGAAGTGGATGAATAACCAGAACTTTCCGCCAGAGTTTACCGCTGGTGAACGTGAAGAAGAGGATTTATGGAAAACAGAGCCTCTACCCCTTAATAAGTACAAGTATCCTTAGTTATATGCTATGAATTTGTTCCTGAAAATGTTAACAGGCATTACATGATTAGTTTGAAAGAGAGAAAATAACTAAGATGTTGATATTTGCAATGAAATACAATGTTAACCGTAAAATTACACAAAAATGTACAGTACATATGTTGAAAGCTGGCAGGCATCAGTTACATGATGCACCAATTGGTTTCTGCAAGTCAGGATAACTTTCTTGTTCTCTTGAAGGCCCTATGATAGAGGGCTAGTGATTCTCTGCATTTGTTAGAAAAAGATCAAGACTCATCTGGTGGGCAGCATTCTTTCTCTCTCTGTACAGTTTCTTATAGCACGCTAAAGAATTCATACTCTTCCTTGAAACTTTTACACTGTTGTTTGTAGGTGTTTGAATCATTCTCCTCTATGATCCTAACTGTATTGTCAGTAGGCTGTAGTTGGATGTTTGGTGGATTCAACACTAAACTTCTCTCTTTTTATCATTTTCCCTGTTGTTTTCCATTTCAAGAAATCTTCATTGGTAAGATCTGATAAATAAGGCTTGGAGCAATGCATCCACATTGGCCTTGTCTTCTTCCTAAAATCCAACAGATCCTGCCATGTCAACAATGCTATGTCTTGAATTTGGAATCTAGTTTTCAGGATTGAAGTCAGTGGGCCAAGAAAGTTCAGGCCAGATCTTCTTCCAGACTCCTTTTGTACAAAACTGTGTAACCTTTGCCTTTGCATAAACTGTGTTGTCACTAAAATGTATTTTACAGAAATGTGATCTTTGCTGTCAGCATCAGTTACCAAATGGCAAATGTTTTACACAGATAAGAGCTCTTGAAAGTTGCAATTACACCCTGATCCATTTGGTGGATCAGAAATATCGTGTTTGGTGGCAAAAACATAATACTCATATTTTTACCTACATTAGTGATGCTAGAAGAATGTCCTGGCATGTTGTCCAGGAGCAAAAAGAACTTTGAGACGCGCACAATAAGTCTTCAGTTTGCGACAGAGTTCATTGCAAAAGTAAGATTCAAGCAGTTCCTGTTATCTAAGCTTTGGTGTTTGAGTAGCTCCTTCTTAGAGTAAACTCTGAGTTCTCTTTGATGTTTAGAGCGATACACCAATGATACACCAACAGAACCTTTATTTTGTAGTCACCAGATGCATTTCCTCTTAACAACAGGGTAAAAGAAACCAAACACAAACGAGCCTTTTTATGTGTGTTTTTTTTTAGGCGTTGTGAATGCACTTCGTAATGCTGTGGTGCGGGGTTTGATCCCAGCTGCGGGCCTTGCACCTTGCGTTGGTTTTGACAGATGTATCGAGAAGCTGACCATCCAGTGGTCAGTGGTCCAATGGCAAACTCCTGGACATAAATTTGCCTAGAAAAAACCACAGCAGCCAAAATATGCTGGGGTTGGTTCTGCAACATCCTGTAAAGAATACACAACTAACTATGTGTGTGTGCATGTGCAAAATACTATGCGGCATGATTAATCTTTGTGTAAATAAGTTGTTGAATATTTTGATGATTTACTCAATATTGTTTACTTATTGAGATTTTAAAAAATAATTTTTTGTTTGGTTCCAAGGTGCCGTGATCTGAAAACAATTCCAGCAAAAGAGTACAAGAAACCTGGACCTGTGTTTGGAACAAATGTTGGAAAAGGTCTCAACATAGGCATAGACATCAAGGCTCCTGCAAAAATACCAATTCTAAAGTGTCCAGAAAAACTGGAGCTGAGGCATTTACTGCAGTTTCAACCAGTCACAGAAGATCTGAGGCAGAAGTAAGAATAACTTGTAACTTGTTGATGAAAAAAAATATCACAAACTTTACGACATTTTGTTTCTGTCTCTTTACTACCTGGACTTGGTTGAGACTCATCAGGTTCGACTGTTACTAAAAATCTTCTAAAGAACTTTGTTTCTGCCTTCTCCTAGGGATGTTTGAGAAATTTGACATTGTCTGGTCATTCCAGACCATGCTATTATGACTTGTTTGGGCTTTTCTTTTGGATCTTCAAAGTCATTGACATTTATCTATGGTTTTATCTCGAGAGAGGTCAACGAAGATATCCTGCAATGCCGTGACTAATTTAAACTCATATAAGTTCATATTCCAGACAAAGGACTTATATCAAGCAACAGTTTTTGCATCTAACAGGACATATATCAAGTCGAAGGAGTAGGTTTGAAGGAGTTGAACAGAGACAGGATAGGATAGAAAGAGTTACATTTATAATTCAGATTCAAAGTTATACTTAGAATGTAAGGCAGATACTAAAAAACTAATTTTTTAGAAACCTTTTACTTCAAGTACAAATGCTTAGGTAAGCATGAGTTAACAGAACGGCATTGTAAAAGAGATGAAATTAAAATAACAATTGAGTTATTGTGAGTTCCGGGGCCTTATTTGGAAAGGGGGTCATAAACTCACTACCTCCCCATCGGGCATGTTGTAAAAGGTGAATAATTAGGGATTTGCTCTTCAAAGTATGTGACTGAGAGGCAAGGAACCAATAGTCTGCATACAAATAAGCCAGATCTGTAAAACAGATGTGGGCACAAAATTCAGGTTCTGAAACAAGACGTGGATGAAAAACCAAAATTGTCCACCTGAGTTTGCAGCTGGGGAATGCTAAAAAGAAGAAGAAGAAGAAGAAGAAGAAGAAGAAGAAGAAGAAGAAGAAGAAGAAGAAGAAGAAGAAGAAGAAGAAAAAACTGGAGCAGAATGGGTTAGTGTAATAGCTGTATATGGAAAAGCAGTTGAGAAAAATGCCTAATGAAAGCAGGACTTTGCAAACACATGGTGAGTCACTTGGTCCTGAAGGAGTTAATATCAGACCTATGGGATAGACTTCCTCAAGAACTTCATATTCTCTTTGGAATGACCAAGAAACATACACACCTTCTCCTTGACTTAAGACCTATGCGACTTACAACCATCTGCACTTACGACCCTCCTCCCCTCCCCCCCCCCCCCCCCCCCCCCAATCACACAATGTAAACACACCCACATATGCACCCGCACATGCACACAAATAAAGATACCTGCATTGTAAGGGTAAAAAGGTTCCCAGAACTGATCCCTAGAGTACATTACGTACAATAATTAATTACGTTAATTTACTTGTTCTATTTTATGTATCATTTTTATAACCCATTTGAATGAAAATAATGTGGAAAAGTATCAATTTAACTTGCACGACCAATTTGACTTATGACCTGTTAGTTAGCGTGGAACATAGTCGTAAGTCGAGGAAGCTGTGTAGAAAGTTGTTTCTTTCTGAATGAGTTGAAGCAAATGTTTTTTTTCTTCTACAATGTTTTTTACTGTAATGATTGAGTCACCTAATTTTGTTGTTAATTGGCAATTTTAGGTTACTGTCTGCACTTCGTGAGTTTGCTTCTGAAGTTTTGGCCAGAATGCAGACAGAGAGTTTACTGTCCATTGAAGACCCACGCTCTCAGGAAGAAAAACAGATATCACAGGAGCTAAAGGTGTTGGCAGAGGCCTTTAAACTTGGAGCTAAAAAATATGAAACACGTGAGCATGGTTTTTTTTTAAGTGCTTTATTATTATCCTATCCTATATAATGTCACAGGATAGTCCAACATTTTAGAGGGTGGTAGGACTGGGTTTCCTGGCTTTGTGATGCTTTTAAAGACCCCAAAACATCTAGAACTGGCCCTAAACCCAACCCACCTATATCCCACGAGAAAGTGCAGCCTAGGTCCCACGACTGCATGCAGCCTAGGTCCCATGACAGCATGCAGCCTATCTACCACCCCCTGGCATATTAAACTGTCCCATGACCTGTGGATTTTTCCTGTTTGGAGTAAGATATTAATAAAGAACCCTTCTTTTTTAAAGATTAAAAGTGAGATTACTGATTTAAGACTCACCATCATAGCATAGAGGGCATACTTGTCCATGCTCCTTCTCCTGTAGCAAGTGTCTTAACTCTTTCGTTTCCAGAAGGTTTCATCAGAGATTGCAAATTGAAGGTATAACCATGATGGAAAAAAAATATTGTGACTGCATTACTTTCAAAGTGGCATTAAACTTAGTGGTAATGATAATTTGATAAAGCCAGATTTCTTTAGTGTGTTCTAACCAACATTGTTTATGAGACCACACATTATGCTATGGAAGGCAATTATTGTGTAGATTTATCAACAGATCAGGTGTTACTTGGGATAGAAAGAGTTGAGGTGTAGATACGGACTGTTCCAGAAGTGCATTGGTTGTACATACATCACACTCTTACTCTCATACATCCTTTCTTGCTGGCTTCACATGTAATTCCAACTCCACACAAACGTACACATGTTATTTCATTGAACATTGTATCTTCAATGGAGGAAGTCAACACTGAGTATCATTATAACGTAGCAGGTAATTTACAGACTGTAGCTCCGATCCACAGCCTGCCTGAAAGAAATGTGGTTCCTAGTTGTTTGCCCGCCTCATGCTCTTTCCTGCCCATGGTGTCCCTTATGCCCTGTTCCCACCTTCATGGGGGTCAGCACCTGCCTGTCTTACCCGTTAGAAGTGTTTTACGGTGTAGAGGCTGTCTGTTCCAGTTGCACACTGGTTTTACACGCCTACATGTGTGTGTATGTGTGTCTGCGTGTGCGTCTGCGTGTGCCTGTGTGTGTGTGCCTTTGTATATGTATGTCTGCGTAGGTGTTTGCGTGTGTGTGTCTGTAGTTGTGGTCTGTGTGAGTATGTGTCTGCGTGAGCATCAGTGTGTGTGTGTGTGTGTGTGTGTGTCTGCGATTGTGTGTTTGTTTGTGTGTCTCTGAGTGTGTCTGTGTGTGTGTATCTGTGTGTGTTTGTATCTGTATGTGTTTGCGCATATGTGTGTGAGTGTGTCTGGGTGTATGAGTCTGTGAGTGTATGCGGGTTTGTGTGTGTGTCGCATGTGTGTGTCTGTGTGTGTGTATATATATCTGTGTTTATGATTGGATTTTTATGTGTTTGTGTATTTGTATGTGAGTGTGTCTGCGTGTATGAGTCTGTGAGTGTGTATGCGGGTTTGTGTGTGTGTCCCATGTGTGTGTCTGTGTGTGTATCTGTGTTTGTGATTGGGTCTGTGCGCGCATGTCTGTTTCTGTGTGTGTATCTGCATTTGTTTCTATGGGTGTATCTGTGTGTGTGTATATATCTGTGTTTATGATTGGATTTGTATGTGTTTGTGCATATGTATGTGAGTGTGTCTGCGTGTATGAGTCTGTGAGTGCATATGCGGGTTTGTGTGTGTGTCGCATGTGTGTGTCTGTGTGTGTGTATCTGTGTTTGTGATTGGGTCTGTGCGGGCATGTCTGTTTCTGTGTGTGTGTCTGCATTTGTTTCTATGGGTGTGTATGTGTGTGCCTGTGTATATCTGTATGTATGTATGTATGTGTGTGCAATGTGTGTGTCTATGTGGGTAGGTAGGTATGTATGTGGGTGATAGGGGTGTGTTTATGTAAAGGTATTTGAGTGTGTGTGCGCTAGTGTGTGTATGCATTTTACCACCCATGCTTTTGTGGGTTTTTTTGTCTTGTTTTTTTTTTTAGGATTCCAAAAGATATGCATATTATTGTATGAATATAACTTCCTTATTTATAAAATACAGCTGCAGTGTGAAAGACAGGTGTTTGGAAGGGTCGAATGTAAGACGGGCCTGCGTGCCCAATTTGTGACCCTTTGAAAATAAAGTTCAATCGTTTGGTCATTCATCCATTCTTGCTGGCTTCACCTGTAATTCCAAATTCACACAACCTTACTCATGTTGTTTTATCTAACATTGTACGAGTATCTTCCGTAGAGAAAGTCAACATTCATCATCATTACAATGCAGCATGTCCTTTACAGGATGTCGCTCCCATAACAGCCCACCTGAAAGAAACGTGGGTCCTAAAAAATTCCTCCCTCATGCTCTTTCCTAGCCAAAGTCTTCCTGTGGGCCCTGTGCCCACCTTGATAGTGGTCAGCACCTGCCTGTCTTACCTAGTAGATGTGTTTTTTGGTGTAGATGCTGACTCTTTCGGTTGCACACTAGTTTTGCATGTCATACTCTTGCCTCTTACTTCCATTATTGCTGGGTCCAAATGTAATTCCAAACTTAAGAAACTTGACACAAATAGTTTCATCTAACATCATACCTTCTATCAGCATTCATTCACAGATAATCTTCAGAATGTCTGCTCTGTCCAGTATGAGTATTCCTACCTTCTGTTGCTTTTGCAGTTGAAAGGAAATTCTCTAATAAGCAAAGGTGGTTTGTATGTATTGACCATATCAACCAGGAGTTCTGATTAATCTATTAAGAAAAACGTGAGGCTTGCACCACAAACTGAATACACATCAAGTGGTAGAAAAAGGTTCTTTACTAATTACTATATCTGGTGCATCAAGCATATGATGTGAGACTCATATTTTTACAAATCAGTCAGCACTTAGACGGGTGAGGTGATCAGTTACCTGGTAGCCATTTTATGATGGGTCTGCCTGGGAGTCAAGCTCAATTTTGAAAAGAGAAAAAGTCTGTTTAAGCGTGGATTTAAACTCTAGACCTTTAGACAAGCAAGTTGGCATCTAGCTACTACAAGCATGACTCCAAACACATACAAGCTTTCTTAAATGTGTATATATTTATACACACAATTTTGTTGTTGTAATTTGTATTCTTTACAGGACATTGCAGAACCAAGACCAGTATTTGCTTTGCTGCTGTGGTTTTTCCTAGGCAAATTTATGTTCAGTAGTTCATTCACATTATGCTGGCTAATAAATAATTTGAAACTTTTTTTTTCAATTGATTACACTGATTGTATCCTGTGTTTATAAATTAGAGCTTTTTGAAAATCTTATTTAGTTTCTTATTATATGGATTTACAGAAGAAACAACTATTCTGTTAAGCGTTGCAAACTCACTTCGTAATGCCGGGGTGCCAGGTTCAATTCTAAATGTGGGTTATTTGACAACATATTGCCTTGCATTGGTTTCGACAGTGGTACTGAGAGCTGACTTTTTGGACAACAATGGCAAACTACTGAATCTGTGTATAATTTGCCTAGAAAAACCACAACAGACAGATATGCTGAGGTTGGGTTCTACAACATCCTGTATAGGATACACATCTAACCAACTTCTCAGCTGTCTCATTTCTAAGCACTCCATGGTGAGATGGTATCCATAATATTGTGCAAACTGCATTTGAATCCACTAACTGTTTTATATGTTTAATTGGCCTGCTGTCTATTTCAGAACATTTGAGGTCAGTTTATGAGCAGGCAGTTACCCCTCCTCCTCCCTGTCCACCTTCAAAACCAATACCCAAGCGAGCCAAACCTGTTCTGGAACAAGACAGAAGAGAGAATGAAGATAAGGAGGCACGAATGATCATTAGAAAGTCAATATTTGAACCGTACTTTGAGAGTGAACTTGGCCAAGTTTTCTTTGATGAAATGGTTAGTTGCCTGTATGTGAAGTAATGAAAAAAGTAATTTCATGCATAAGTTGTTGTACAGCTATCATATATTAAGTCCAGCATCTTAAAGTCCTGGAATAATGAGACTGGTTGAACAGCTTCTTTTTCTGTTGCCCTTCCTTCGAGAAAAATGTCCCAAAAATTCAGAAAAAGGCTTAGTGTTTTAAACTTTCTAAGGTGGAGGCAAGTGTGCTGCTTGTAGAGTGGCAAGCATAGCTGCACAGTCCTGAATAGTGTCTTTTGGATATTTTTCCCCAGGAAAAAACCGATGTTTTGGGAAACAAGCAGGCAGATAACCTGACTAGTTCTACACCACGTGGTGGTGAACTGATGCATGACACATAAGATGTTGTAAGACATGACACATTAGATGTTGTAAGACATGACACATAAGATGTTGTAAGACATGACACATTAGATGTTGTAAGACATGACACATTAGATGTTGTAAGACATGACACATTAGATGTTGTAAGACATGACACATTAGATGTTGTAAGACATGACACATTAGATGTTGTAAGACATGACACATTAGATGTTGTAAGACATGACACATTAGATGTTGTAAGACATGACACATTAGATGTTGTAAGACATGACACATTAGATGTTGTAAGACATGACACATTAGATGTTGTAAGACATGACACATAAGATGTTGTAAGACATGACACATTAGATGTTGTAAGACATGACACATTAGATGTTGTAAGACATGACACATTAGATGTTGTAAGACATGACACATTAGATGTTGTAAGACTTGACACATTAGATGTTGTAAGACTTGACACATTAGATGTTGTAAGACATGACACATTAGATGTTGTAAGACATGACACATTAGATGTTGTAAGACATGACACATTAGATGTTGTAAGACTTGACACATTAGATGTTGTAAGACTTGACACATTAGATGTTGTAAGACATGACACATTAGATGTTGTAAGACATGACACATTAGATGTTGTAAGACATGACACATTAGATGTTGTAAGACATGACACATTAGATGTTGTAAGACATGACACATTAGATGTTGTAAGACATGACACATTAGATGTTGTAAGACATGACACATTAGATGTTGTAAGACATGACACATTAGATGTTGTAAGACTTGACACATTAGATGTTGTAAGACTTGACACATTAGATGTTGTAAGACATGACACATTAGATGTTGTAAGACATGACACATTAGATGTTGTAAGACTTGACACATTAGATGTTGTAAGACATGACACATTAGATGTTGTAAGACATGACACATTAGATGTTGTAAGGTTGTTTTTTGTTTGGTAGTGAGTGAACAGTGCAGAGGCTCAAAAAGCTCATCATGGTCTGAGCAGAAAGCGAGGAGTGACCAGGGGATCTGGCTAATTCTCAACACTCAAAGAAACAGTGCGAAGAATATACAGTCAAACTGTTATTCCAAGAAGACTAACCCAGGCACCATTCCTGTTGAAGTTGAATGTATCGGCCAAAAGGCACAAGTATTACAGCCATTTTGTAAATAGGCATAACACATCTACTTCTTTGGAGGAACACAGAAGAAGAAGAAACTGTT